TCACCCCCGAGTACGCGGTGGCCAACGTGGTGTCGGTGGGCGCCGGGCTGCTGGTGAGAGCGGCCGGGCCGGGCCGCGGGAGCGGGGCGGGGGGGGAGCCGGCCCTTCCCGAGGCGCGCCTTGAGCGCGGGTCTCTCCCTGCAGAGCATCGCCGTGGGCATCGTCGCCATCCTGGTGTCGCACAACCTGTCCCGGGCGGCCTTGGTGAGTGCGGGGCGTCGGGGTCAGCAGCCGAGCGGGCCGGGGGCCGCGGCGCGGCCCGGCCCCTGCTGTCCGCCGCTCCCTCGGACCTTGTCCCCGGCGGCTCCTTCCGCCTCGGCGGCTGGCGGGGTTGTGGGTGTCGCCTGCTGCCCTGGCTCAGCCCCGCCGGCAGCACCGGGAGAGTGGGTGGGTGGGTACTAGGCACCGTCCTGGGGCAGAAACGCTTCAGCTGGTGGGCAAAGCTGCTGCCGGGGTCAGGCATCCCACTGTGGGCTCACGAGGGTGGGCCTGCATGAGGCAAGGCTGCTGCTGGTGGGGTCCTTGGCTCTCAGCGGAGCTGGGCCTGTGCTGCGCTGGGGCTCCCCAGGGGCAGGAGCCCGTGGGAGGGGGCCGTCTGGTGGCTCTGGGCTAACTGGAGAGGCGAAGGAAGCGAAAGGTGGAAAAACCTCCTCCGAGTGCAGGGCTGAGCTGCACTAGGAGGAGCAAGAGGTAGCATGTGCTTGCTTGGTGCAAACGTCCCTGGGGTTCCCAGCACCCCCACTAGCCTGCAGAGTGGCTGTGCGGAGGTGTGGGGTGCCTGGCCTCACGCAGTGGCAGTGCCTAGCCCTGGCATTTCGCCCAGCCTGTGTTCTTCTTGCTGTCTGCAGCATTGGACCCTACTGAGCATGTCCCTGTTGAACTGCCTCCTGTCCACAACGTGCAGCGTGGGCCTGGCGCTGGCCATCGCCCTCACCATTCACAGCCGGGGTATTCACCTTGTCACCGGCTGCAACAGCTCTGCACTGCCTGCTGACGCCCGTGCAGCCATAGCGACCAACGACTGTCCTTTCAACACCACGCGCATCTATGTGAGTCTGCAGGGCCACCCCCCCTTTCTGTCTCTGCTGCTGCTTCTTCTTCTTTCCCCCTCTCTCTTTTGCCCACCCTCTCTCTGCCTTTCTTCCTTTTACTTTTCCTCCCGTTCCCTTTCTTTCTCTCCCCTTCTCTTCCCCACTGCCTGCACAGCCTCTGCTCAGCCACATGTAGGTAGGCTGGGTGCAGTGAGCCACGCTCCCTGAGGGACCTCCGACCCTCTGCTCTGCAGGACACGGCCCTGGCGCTCTGGTTCCCCTCCATGGTGCTGGTGGCTGCAGAAGCCGTGCTGTCTGGCAGGTGCTGTTTGGTGGCCCTGATCTTCCGGGGCATTGGGCCCTGTGCACGTGGCTACGGCAAAGAGCAGGTACGCCCCATCGGTCCGGACGGGTCTCCCTGCCTCTGCCCCACCATTGCTGCCTTTTTGCTGCATTTTGAAGCTGCTGGGTTCTGCTGGGCCCTTGTTCCCATACAAACAGGCTGTGCAGCAATGGGAGGGTGAGTGTCAAGTTTGAACCTCTTCTAGCCAGCCTTGGTGACGGACTGGCACCCCTTCATCTTGAGTAGTTGCAGAGGGACCCCGCACTTCATCCCTCTGAAAGCCAAGCCTGTTCTGTCCTGAGTGAACACCCCTGCCCCCCCCCCAACCTGGCCCAGCCCTTCACACGTCCCTGTGACCCTCCACCTCTTCTTTTCTTTTTTTCTTCTCCCTAGCTGGCTGAGCCAAGCACAGCGAAGGAGGGGCCACCACGTGAGGTGCAGCAGCTCCTGACGGGGCTGGCTGAGCCTTGTGCCTAGCTGGAGAGGTGAGTGCAGTGCGTGGGCTATGCCTGGGGGGGGGGGCGCGTAAGCGGGCAGGCTCCACTGTCAAGAGGGCCCTGCCCACACCAGCCCCCTGAAACATCTCTTTCCAAGCACTTGCTACAACTACTGGCCAGAGGTATCAGCGTGATGCCTGGCCCTGCAGCATAGTCCTGCATTCATGCATACCTTTTCACTCCCAGGTGGTGCTGCAGGAGTGCTGCAATCCAGCAAGGTGAAGTTGCACCTGCACCGTACTCCTGCCCCTGGTGTAAGCATGTGTAGGGTGGGCTGCAGCAGAGAAGGGTGTGCCTTCCCCCCCTCCCGCCAGCCTCACCACCCCACCTGGGACAAACCCTGCAGGTTCCAGACACAAGCTGCCCAAGGTCATCAGGCAGCCTTTGCCTAACAGGTGCCATGGCCCCCGGATGCTCTGCCCAAGCTGCAAAGCCCTTCCTGGCACACTAAAGTCTCCATTGGTCTTTTACACACAGTGATGGGGGTGACCAGAGGTGTTGGGGCCTGGCAACAGCCAGGGCTGGCCTGGGTCCTGATGGCCCTGCTGCAGAGCAGGCAGGGTCAGCTTGCTGCACCTGTGCTCAGGCAGGCCAGGGAATGGAAGGTGAAGAATCCTTTTGTTGTGAGCCTCTCGTTTCCTTGAGTAAATAAAACATTTCCTTTTCACACTGCCTGCTGTAAGTGGCTCCCCAGGGTGGCTGGCTCCTGGGAGCTGAGCCCACTGATGGAAGGACAGCACAGCTGGTATGTAAGTCCATCTGCATGCTTGTCCCCCCCACCCTACCAGGCACAGGGGTGTAGACAGATAGATGGTCCCAGTGTGACAGTCACCCATCAGGGTGGAGGGTGCACGTTTAGCATAGCTAGGTTGAGGCCAAGAGCCACATGTAGTGGGTTATGGTCCTGTGCCCTGGCAGCTACATGTGTTCCTGGCCTCAGCATCCCCTGATAAACAGGACAGCAGGGTTGAGAGACATGTTTATTGGAAGTGGAGGGTGCTGAAGAACAGGACTGAAAGCTGCCACTATCCAGCTCACTGGAAAGAGAAGCTGGTGCTCGGGAGTCCCCCACACCACTGGCTGAGGAACTTGAGCACATCTTGGCATGCAGGGCTGTGGGATGTCTGCAGAATGAAAGAGACCTTGGCATTGGCAAGGAGGCAGTGCCATCACCCCCTGCCCAAGGGCACCCCTCGGGGCTGACGGAGCTGCACAGGCAAGGCTGGGTCTGCCCCAGCTCTGTAAGTGAGGTTAATCCCTGTCGAGCAGCATGTAGGCAGGCTACAGTAAAACCACCCTGGTTCAGTGTATCTCCACCCAGTGGGACAATGTTTTATTGTTGGCATGAGGAGGTTGAACACCCTGCAGCCTGTCCCCTGCCCCACAGGGTGCCTGGCTCACCTTGACAGCCATCAGGAACTTGTTCCACGTTTCCTTGTTGGCTTCCCGGCCTGGCCGCTTGAACTCTATCTTGTTTCTTAGTACAGGGTACCCTGGTCACACAGTGACACCTTCAGAAACAAGCCGAGAGCCACAGCAGACCCCTGCCTTGTGCACCCCTTCCCTCTCTGCATTGCCAGCTGGCTAGAGCTGCTCCCATGGAACAGTGCAGGGGAACAATGCCACCTCTGGCTTTTAGAGACCAGAATAAGGAAGGGGGTGCCCACAGTAGTGGAATCAAAGGAAGATGAAGGCTGAGCTGTCCTCTGGCAAGGACACCCAAGTGAGTATGTGAAACGATAGCACCCTGCTCCTGGCCTTTGGAGCCAGAGGCCTGTTGCTGGTGGCTACCTCTGCCCCCTGCCCTTCTCTGACCCACTCTTTTAAGTCCTGCACCGCAGTCCCTCAGTGTCTGAAGTGTGCAAGTGGTGGGCAACAGTACTTGCCAGAACAGACAGCTTTTGTAGAACAGGGACAGACACTGCATGTGCACGTGTGTCAGTGCTGGACAGCCTCCTAGGCAGTGCTGTGCGAGACTGAACAGTCATAGAATCATAAAAACACAGAACGCTTAGATTGCAAGGGACCTCTGGGGTCTATACGGTCCAGCCCTGCCCTGCTCAAGCAGGGCCACCCACAGCTGGTTGCCCAGGACCGTGTCCAGATGGCTTTCCAAGTATGGAGATGCTACTGCTTCTGTGCAACCTGTTCCAGTGGTCAGTCACCCTCACAATAAAAATGGGTCCATCCATCTCCTCCAGCAGAACTGGTCCCCAGAGCCACACAGTCTCCCTGCTCGTCTTGCAGCACAGCCTGATCTCCCTCCCAGACACCCCCCTCCCCAACATGTTCCCACTCCCTGCATGGCACCATGTACTCCCTTGCATATTTGTGAACTGGCCTGGAGCTTACCTGTAAGCACACAGGGTAGGGAGCGCACCCCTGTATTTGCTGCCACCAGTGAGGCTTCGTATGTGTCGCGCTCGTCCTGTGGCAGCACCTGCTCCAGCTGCTTGTCCATGGACATAGTGAGCACCCAGTCCCTGACCTCCTCCCGCTTCTCCTCCTGCAGGGCAGAGGCCAGGGCACTGCCTGATATTGCATGCTGTGCCACAGCCCAGCTGCTGCTCCACAGCACTAGGGACAATACTGGGGAGAGCAGGACACAAGTGTGCGTGCAGTATGTGCACACACATATGCATGTATGCATATTGGGGGCGGGGGGTGAGTGCATGTGTGCACAAGCACCTGTATAGTGGAGAGAGTGTGTGTGCATGTGTATGTGTGTACTGGGGCTGCATGTGTGTTTGCAGTGGGTGGGGGCCCAGGGCCCAGGCCAGTGCTGAGTACATTTCCATCTCTTCTTGTAGTGTGTGCTGTCCCACCCTTGCCCCAGTCCCTCTTCAGAGGGGGCCCTGAAGCAGCATCACTGTTCATGGGAGCTGAAGAAGGCAGATGACACTCACAGGCACGTGCTGTTGGGCTGGAAGTGGCACTTCAAAGGGAATGTCTGTGCTCTGGAAATCGGAGTGGTCCAGAGAATCCAGGTTCCCTTCTTCAATGGCCTGAGAAAGGAGAAATGGTGGAGCACTAGGCAATACCACCCTTGGAGTTGACAGTACAATCTACATTGTGAGGATGGCATTATTGATGCCTCTATCTATTAGCGCTGTGGTGACTGGGCCCTCCTGGGAGGCAGCATTTATGGCCATCCTCTGCAGTGTCAGAGGATGTGTGTCTCTGAAACACTGTACTATTCAAACTTGTCAGGTGGCCTCGAAGGGAAAGATGAAATGGGGGGGGGGAATGGCACGTTTCCCAGCAGCTGCTGACAGCACTTGGAAGACTGGAACAGTAAGGTCTGTCAGCTTCCTAGGGTTTAGTGTTTTCTGGTGACCAATCTGCTACTCAAGGAAGGAGATGACTGGCATGGGGACTCCTCAGTCTTGTATCACAGTGGCTAAAGCATTGGGCCATGCCCTCCACCCCTCAGGTAATTTTTCTTCCCTTGGAACAACTCAGATGAGATCATCCTGAAAGCTGTAACAGCACTTGCAGCCATGAAGATTACAGGCCCAAACTGTTAGGCCAACTTGCTCTTTGCTGCAACATAAATGCATGGTGGCACTGGCACACCCAGAGTGACAGGGTCAGGGTTGCTCAGGTGTCCTGCATGGCAAGTCCTTCCACAGCTAGTTTTAGGGTACTCAGTGCTGTGCATGCACACACACACTGAGCAGCGTTCAGGGTTCTCCATTGGCACCAGCTCAAACGTCCTGCCACATTTGAGCCTCAGGAGTACCCTGACCAGGTTGAGGGTGTGTTTTCGCCCTACAGCCCATTGTCATTTCAAGTATGATAGCCCTCCCTCCAGCAGACTATACGCACATCTGAGAGGTCCAGGAAGCGGTTCAGGAAGATGAATGCCATGTTCTCCCAGTTGACTGCCTAGTACAGAGAGAAACCCCAAGTGAGACCAGGCAGCTTATCTTCATGGCCACAACTCTCCTGCCTGAGCGATGGCTAGAAAGGATGTGGTTCTGTTTGTGCCACAACATCCCGCTTGCAGCACAGGTAATGGAGAAGGAGAATGCACAACCTGCTCGCCATTCCTGAGGATGGCTTCACAGGCAACCACTAGGACAACCAGCCCACTAGCCACAGGCTGTCCCACAAGATGGAGTCAGGCATTATTGCACAGCCAGCATCATTCAGTGAGAGCATGCTGCTGTGCTTGACATGTGTCATTGCGTCTGGGCAGGCAGTCAGAGTCTGTAGCCTCAGGATTGAGGTAACACTTAGGTGACCCAGAGCAAGGCAGATCAGTGAGGAGTCTTGCATCTACGCTAACAGAGCCATGCAATATAATGTGGCCGCTGGTCCACCCTCTGGGTCTGCAGTCTCAGGTATGCCCTCCCACTACCTACTGCCATTCCATGACAAAATGCAGAGGCTGGCAAGCTGTTTGAGGAAAGGCCTCCAATGCCAGTGTCTGGCTACTGGTGTACCAGTGCAGCTAGGGGCAGCTAGGGGAAGATAAAGTTGAGAATCCCTGAGCCCAGGGTCCTCCACCTCCTTAGCTGCTCTGGTGGCAGATACCTCTTACCTTGGCAGCTATCCCAGCTTCATAGAAAGCCTTGTCTGCAGGGAGGAGCTCAGTGTGGCGCAGCAGGGAAATGGACAGCTTGGCAGCTACCATGTCCTACAGCCACAGGGGACAGTAAAGCCAAAACAATCAGCACAGAAAAGTCAGGTCGGAAGGGATCTCATGAGATCATACTGCCCCAGAATCATGGCAGGGACTCTGCACCCACGTATTCCAGATAGGCAACAAAGAAAGGTTAAAAACTTCAGTCCTGACCGTAAGTACCCTCACTGTGTGAACACACAGGAGGCCTGTCACCTGAAGATGAAGTCCTTTTGCTTTATAAACCGTGCTGTTTTTTCTAGAAGCCACACCCAAACTCCCACCATTTGAGTTACAGAATAGTTGAGGTTGGAAGGGATCTCTGATGATCAACTAGTCCAACCCTGCGACATTCAAAGCAGAGTCAGCTACAGCAGGTTGTTCAGGAACATGTCTGGTCATGTTTTGAGTATTTCAAGGGACTCTCCAACCTCTCTCTCCAAGCAACCTGTTCTGGTGTTCAGCCACACTCACAGCAAGTTTCTTCTTGTATTCAATCACATAAGAATTTCTGAGTGGGGGCAAGGAATTCAAGGGAGATTTCACTTCTCTGCTTGCCAGATAGGTTCTCATCACACCAGAACCGGGAAGGCCAGCTCTTCTTCGTGGTCCCACATAGACTACCCAACACCTCAACATGCCACAACTGTGTGGGTCTGTACAGGTTTCCAAGACATCAGAACTGGCTCTTTCTGTCTGACATGTCTCTGGACCCCCAACATCTACACACGCAGCCATGGGGAAAGCCCAGTCTCCCCTATGACTTTTACTGGGGTCCT